ATATATAAATACTAAAATAAACTACTACTTACTACTACTACTACTACTTGTACTACTAGTACTGCCATTCCTCTTTGCGGTTTTTCACTTGTCGCGGGGGGCTGGGAATGGAAATGAGGAACTACTGTATCACCCATTAGCATAAACTACAACTAGCTTTCTAGAAGCTCAAAGTGTCAGCTTACACGGATCACCATCTCTGCACTGTATTTACTGCAGCACTGCAAGTAGAGTGCTGGAGCACATTGCTCTTACTACACAATTCAACTTTTAAAATAGTCAAATGCCAGAAGTCCACATCATAAGTTTCTGTTTACTTTCTCCAACAGAACTCAGGAATAGACATTGGGGATATTTCTGCGAGAAAAGCCCTTCGGTCCAAACTCAGATGCCAACCGTTCAGCTGGTTCCTGTCCAACATCTACCCAGAGCTGCGATCCTACAGCAACACTGTTGCTTATGGAGTGGTGAGTTTCTCTTACCAGTCTGTCCAGGAAAAAAAAAAGGTTTTAATAGATGACACTGACTAAAGAACTGGCAAACAGAAAAATGTACTTCCACATTAGTTTTGAATTCATCAACTACAGCTTTATACAACAGGAGATGAAAAAAATTAAGTTGATTTATTTTTAATATCTGCCAGGTTTATAGCTTTATTAAAAAAAATAATCTATTTTTGTGGTATATTACTAGTCAGGTGTTCCAATGATGAATATGTGTATTTTCATGCGTCAATTCTTTTGATAAATTTATTTAAAAGACTGTTTATTATAGCCTTTTTTAATTACATATTTATTAAACCTGCTGGTTAAGACTTATACAAATAAACTTGCATAAAGTAATGAGCTATATCTCTTTCAAATTAGAGTCACACAATGCTAATTAAGATTATCAATCTCTCTGAATTCTGCAGGGTTCTCAAATATAAAATATGAACCCTGAGACGTGCTGAACTACTTTTGCATCAATACATGTGCATATAAACAATATATGCACATATAAGCAATACATGTGCATATAAACAATACAATGTGCATATAAACAATACATGCGCATATAAACAATGCATGCGCATATAAACAATACATGCGCATATTAGCAATGCATGTGCATATAAACAATACAATGTGCATATAAATAATACATCTGCATATAAGCAATACATCTGCATATTAGCAATACATGTGCATATAAACAATACAATGTGCATATAAACAATACATGTGCATATAAACAATGCATGTACATATAAACAATGCATGTGCATATAAACAATACAATGTGCATATAAGCAATACATGTGCA